AATAGCCTGAACAAAAATGTGAAGTGCAGTTATTTATCACAAAGGCAACACCCATGTAAGCACTATGCGGGTCAAGAAATGGTGCATTGCCAACAGCACAGGTCACCTTCATGCCACTTTCCAATCACTACACCTGTCTCCACTTCTCCTGAGTGGCCAATATCCATACTTTGTCATGATCATTTCTTTGATTGGCTTTATGCTTTACCACCCAAATGTGTAACTCTAAACTCTGTAGCTTTGTTTTGCATGCTGTTTTAAATTGCATAAATAAAACCCTTAATACGTTATGTTTTCTGACTTCTTTTTTATTGAACATTATGTTTCACAAATTTATCCACATTGTTGCATGTACATTTAGTTCATTCTTTTTCATTTCTCTGTGTTTGTTCATTGAATGAGTTTACTAAAATATTCATTCATTCTAAGCTGACAGATGTTTGGGCTGTTTCTCTGTTTTTGTCTTCATTAGATTTTTGTTATTGAGGTATAATGTGACATATAACGTTATATTGCTTTCTGGTATATAACATAATGATTCGATATTTGTATATATTGCTAATGACAACCACAATATGTCTAGTTAACACTCATTAAGCGGGCATTTCTTTTCTGAACTATTTTAAATAATGCTACTATGAGCATTCTTTTACATACTATTTGATGCCCTGGTCTTGCTATATAAACAGGAGTAGAATAGCAGGGTTCTTGAATATGGTACGCTGACTCTTGTCACAGAAAATGAAAAGTTCAAAGTACAATTCAACTAAATTTACCCTTTTCACATTCACCCTCAGTCTCTATGTTGTTATTCTCATATATTTTATTCATTCTGTATTTTAACCCCTTAAAACATGATTGTTTTAGACAGTCAACATGCATTTACGTTTACACATGTATTTTCCATGTACATTAACTTACAGTCATTCTTGCATCTTAAACTTCATATTTGGAATAATATTTATTCTATCTGAAAAATATCTTTTTGAATTTCTGTTTATGAAAAGTCTGCTCTTCTTTTGAAACACCTTGAAGATATTATTCCATGCAGTTCTAGCTTCCATTTTTGGTCGAAATCAGTTATTTTCAAACACCTGATCCTTTTAATATAATTTGCAATTTTTTCTCTGGCTATTTATGATATTTTTTTTCCTGGACTTTGGTTTCCTGTAATGTTTATATGTTAAATTGTTTTAGTTATCTTGTCTGAGGTTTGATGATTTCGTCAATCAATGGACTGATACATTTTTATGGAAATCAGTAATTTTGCTTCCACCCCATTATCTCTTCTATCTTCCAGAACTCCAGAAGTATTTTGGACTTTTTGACTGTAACCTTCACGTCTTTCACCCTCTAGCCTCTTTTCCATCTCTTTGTCTTTTTATGTTTCACTCTGGGTGGTTATTTTTCAATTCACTAATTCTCTCCACTGTGTCTAATTGGTTATTAAATCTGTCTACTGAACATTCATTTTCTCAGTCTTGTTTAAACGATAGGAACAATCTTATGTTCCTCTATAAGTCATCTTCTAAGGGGAAATGGAATAAAATGCTCTTAATACCAAGCTCTGAAAGAAAACTTTTTTATTTTTTGTGGTGTTTACAAGTACACTTGTTAGTAGTGTTAAAAATAACAAGTATTATTTTGAGTACTGTTAGTAATGTAACAATTCCCTTCTTTGCCAAATTTTTCTTGCAGAATAGAATAAAATCCCAACCAAGCTGGGAAGGAACTGGCAATGATTGTAATGTAAGTATTTTTTCTTGGATGGCAGCTTGTCTGTTGCAGGCTCATCACCACAGGCTCTCATTCCAGGAAAAGTCAAGGAGTAAAACTTGGTTTCCAAATGCCATTCAATATTGCTTCCACCCCGTTTTCTCTCCTCTAACTTCCAGAACCCCAGAAGTATGTTAGACTTTCTGAATGTAACCTTCATGTCTCTCACCCTCTAGCCTATTTTCCAACTCTTTGTCTTTCTATGTTTTGTTCTGAGTACTTAATTTCAATTCACTAATTCTTTCTCCACTGTGTCTAATTTGTTATTAAATATGTCTATTGAATTCTTAATCTTGACTACTCATTTTCTCAGTCTTATTGTTTCAGTGTTAGGAGCAATCTTTTGTCCTTCTTCCATAAGTCATTTTCTATGGGGAAATGGAATAAAATATTCATACCAAGCTCTGAAAGGAAACATTTTTATTTTTAGTAGTGTTAACAAGAAAATGCTAACAATTCTCTACTTTGCTAAACCTTTCTCAAGGAATAGAATAAAATTATAGTCTAGTCATCCTCCACTAAGTTGAAAGGAACTGGCAGTGAATGTAATGTAAGTAGTTCTTACATGGCAGCTTTTCTGTTGCAGGCTCATCACTATAGGCTCTTACTCCAGGGAAAGTCAAGGAGTAGAACTTGATCTTCAAATGCCATTCAAATAAGCAAATTAGAACACATCAAGCACAGTGACAGTATCTTACTTCATGGCTTAATTTTTCTGTAATCCTTTTACTCTGCTTCTATCATCACAAATGGGGCTCTGTGCCTTAGAATTTCGTCATTACCTAGGATGATAGACAAGATACAGAGGCTTACTCCTATTTGGTCCACTGACTCCTAAAGCTCTCTCTTTAGAAATAAAAGCACGTTCATAAAGTGATTTATTTACTTTATGTTTTTTATTAAAGGCATTTTATTTACACTTAAGACTAAACACTTTTTCTAGTTATCTCCTGATTAGTTTGCAATCATCTATATATAATTTGCTCAAGTAATACACTTATTTTTTCTTTTGAGGAAGATTATCCCTGAGCTAACATCTGCCACCAAATCTCCTCTTTTTGCTGAGGGAGACTTGCCCTGAGCTAATATCTGTGCCCATCTTCCTCTATTTTATGTGGGGCGCCTGCCACAGCATGGCTTGACAAGCAGCACATAAGTCCACACCCGGGATTCGAAGTGAACCCTGGGCCGATGGAGCAGAACGTGTGAACTTAACCACTACGCCACCAGGCCAGCCCCTCACATAATACATTTCAAAGTAAAACAAATTCAGTTTCTAAATGTATTCAGCTTGACTTGAACTTTGCTGTTTACTAAGGTAAGTTACTTATAATGATAATCTTTAGGAAATTACTTAGACATTGTCCAAATTATATATATATATAAACATCTCAAATACATATCACTAAATGAGATACATCATGATCATGATGATGGCAGCTAAATGGGAAAACTCTAAATGATTGATGTGACTTTGTCTAGTTTTCTAATTGACAAAGTTCACTGAGATAGAACACTACCAATCTTCCCCATGGCCTTATGATACTCATACCATTCTTACCATCGGGGCTTAGCCTAGAAGAACACCTTCACTTCATACCTCATCAAAAATAATTTAAAATCAACATATTCGTAATGATTTACATGCTATATTTTTCTCCACTACATTCTAAAAAGCACGGCAAAAGTTAGCTCAAACACACAGTACTTTGCTTTTATTGCATTTTCATATGGACATGTACTTATATCCTCTATAAAATAGTACAGTAAATCATCTTTCTTTTATATTTTAATGACATCAATAGCAAGCAAAGTTCTCTCATCTGCTTATTTGCATTCCCAGCTAGCGTGACTAAATCTGGGTTATTTTATTACAGCAGTCAAAGTAGCATTACATATACATAAACATATCCAAACATCACAGTGAATATGTATCATGCTTTAACAAACGTACCTATTTATATGTATGTCTTTTTTTCTCTAACAAAGAACTAAAAAAATGTACAGTAATAAAATATATGCCTCAACACATGTATGCTCATGCCTAGTCACACACACACATCAATACTTAGTGTGTGATTATGATTATAAACTTCGGATGGTGGCAAGAAGAGTGTTGTTATTCAATTTAAAGATCAACTTAATTGTCATGGGTATTTGATATCTATGCTTTAATTCATCAGAAATTTTCTAATCTACTTTTTCTAATCTACCTTTTCTAATCTACCTCTATGCTTTAATTCACTGGAAGTTTTCTCATCTACCACTTTAAAATATGATCTGTAAATAATTAAATTGGAAATTAGGACAAAATGTGGGTAGAAAAATCTAGATATTAAAATTTGAAGTTTCAAATTAAGATTAGCACTAAGAATGTGGATTTATAATTTCTGCTTATATCTTCCTTTTCTTCATTAAAGTAACTTTTTTTAAATTTTAACCTGGATTTCACACCCCCATAATCCTGTATTGCTCTTTAGTCAGCCAGAATTCAAATTACAGTGGTATCTATGAGAAGATGTTGCTCCAGCTTAATTGTATTCACTAACTTACTTCATTTTTTTCTGCTTTCTAAACATTTTCATTATTTTGAAATCTAACACACATATAGGACATAAGAAAACATAAATGCAAAGTAAGATGAAAAATTATAACATTAATACCTATATTACATTTTAGTCAAAATACAGAATTTTCCCAGCTATCCAGACATTCCGCATATACACCTTCGTATTGATGCCATTTCCCTTCCCTTTCCTCCCTCGCTACTATCGCAATTGTTACAATAATCATTAATTCGTTTCACTTAGTTTTGCCACAAATATATAAATTTTAAAAAGTATATAGTCCACCTAATTTTTAAGTTTATGTAACTGGGATTAAAGTGACTTTTTTGTTTATTTCTTGATACTTCCTTTTAATATTCTGTATGCATTATCTATGTAGCTCTAATTTGTTGATCTTCTTTGTTAGACAGATCCTGTTGTAAACAAGAGCTCTAATTTATTCATTTGCATTGCTGTATAGTATTCTCCTATATCAATATTCTATTATACACTTTTTGGGGGTGGGGTGAGGAAGATTGGCCCATTGGCCCTGAGCTAAGGTCTGTTGCCCATCTTCCTATTTTTGCTTGAGGAAGATTGTCACTGAGCTAACATATGTGCCAATCTTTCTCTATTTTGTGTGTGGGACACCACCACAGCAAGGCTTGATGAGTGGTGTGCAAGTCCATGCCTGGGATCCAAACCTGCAAACCCCGGGCCACCGAAGCAGAGTGCATGAATTTAACCACTACACTACTGGGCTGGCCCCTGTTATGCCCATTTATCAGTGAGAGAAATTTGTGTGGCACCTCAATTCTAGTTATTAAGAACAACAGCAATATGCACATTCCTATATATGAATCCTGTTGCAAATGTACCAAAGATTTTCTAAGGAATAAAAGTAGGAGTACAATTACTGGGTGTTAGGATATGCATCTTCACTTTAATCAGATATGCCATACTGTTGGCCAAAGTAGCTGTACCAATATTTAATCCTAGAATTAGTATATGAAAATTCCCATTGCTTCATACTGTTTCCAAAATTCATAATATCAGCCTAATTTTTACACTTTTATATTCATGTGAAATATTATTACAATTAATATTTTATAATCCTTTTCCTATTCTAACTTCGAGTTTATCTTTAGTTTTAAAACATTATGTTACTCTTCTTCCTCTCTATAACTGATTTCATATACATTTCTTCATATTGCATTGTATATTACATAAATATTTATTAATAGTTCATTGTATATTTTTATAGTCTTTCATCTTAGTCTCAAATACTCTGTTGCTACCAGAAAGTGTTATTATAGCAGAGATATTTCATCTACTTGAAGTAAAATCACTTGGAGAAAATACAATTAGTTAACAGCAGTTGTTAAGGGAAATTTCTGTGCTGTTTAACAACACCTTAAAGAACCCAATGAAAGAAATATTGAAATTGAAAATGAAGATACAAGGTCTTCTATTAAGGTATTTTCCCATAGAATATAGGATGTCCTTTTAAATTCTGCCTATGAAGCTAAAAGTTTTGCTTTTCTCAAGAGAGAATTTAAGATGCTACAGTAATCTCTAGTGATCTATCTTAGCTTGCTGTTTCCTAAATTATAATAAATGAGTGGCCTGAGGGAAAGATGGTGGAAAACACCACAACAACATCATAACCTGAAACCTTTGTACCTTAAGGAAGATCTAACTTGCTATTAGAGTGGAAATAAAGTAAATGATGAAGAGGAGGAAGAAGGTTGTCACCATCTTCATGACCCTTTAAGAGCCTTTGTGCTGGAGTCCCTCATGCCCTTCAGGTTGAGCTACAAATTCCTGGTGTGTATCACCAAAGACAGAAATAAAAGGAGCAAAAAGGTCAGGGACAGAAGAAAGGGGATAACATAGGTCAACTAAGAAGAAGGCTTTTAAGATAGAACATTTTATTTACGTGTAAATGCAAAGTCATGTTTCTTTCATGTACTCCATACGTATTCATCCACAACTCAATAAGAGCATCCTGCATTAAGAGACTAGCAGGAGATAAGAAGAAAGACCTCAGGAAAAGTACAAGACCCACTCTGTTCACTCTCCACTTCAGCCAGATGAACAAGAAGTGGGAGAAACCGGCAATCTTAAGGAAGCAGAAAATGCTTAGGCAGGTGGCAAGCAAGTGATTAGTTAGTGCCCAAAGAATAGTAATCGCTTTTGCTAATTTACTAGTGGCATTCAGATGTGGAAATAGCCCTACATTAAATGAACCAAATAGTGTTATCCACAGTTGAATGATTCTGGCCATACCAAGCTGGTAAGGATGAAATCAGCTGATGAGATTTTCCCATTCTTGACCCATTCGATGCAGTTTACCAGTCCAATGAACCCATTTCCCAGCATTCGTAAGATGAGTTCTCCTGTTGCCATGACCAGAAAGGAGACCTTAATTCCAACTGACATTTCTATGAAAATATTTCTAATGTTGTAAGTCTCTGACAGCATTATAGTTAAACAGTTGCATAATGACATACACTTATGTTGCTTTTTATAAATGTTCTCATCGTAATTCCAGACAGTACAGCCAAAATTTTCCTATGTAATATAGTTACAGAGATCTTCATGAAAGAATAGTTCAGTCTATTTATAATGTAATTCCAGTGATAAAGACCAAACAGTTCTGTGAAGAGACACAAAGGTTCATGAATACCTTTCTTATTACTTACAGCTACAACATAATTTCCAGAGTTAGCTTCAGCTAATGATGTCCACTTATCCTTGGCAACATCTGCAAATTTCCATTTGTGCTAAAGACTAGAAGGATAAAGGCAGGTATGTAAACATGCAAATATAAGAGAGATTATTCTCCACAAATTTATACTTTATCTCTTGTAGACCATATTCAAAGGCAAATATTTTAGATTTTGAATAGTAATTTTTAGAATAAAATTAATTTAAAATCAATTGCATAATTAATTAAAATTAATATTAAATTTTAATAATTTGGCCATTATTTGTTACTCATCAATGACATCTTTCTACTTATCATGTATTTTGGTTGATTCAAGATTATTTATAAAAGTAATTTAATGCAATTATTTCTAGTTCAAAGAACACATCCAAGTACAGAACAAATAACTATAAATAATTAGTACTTAATATTGTAGGAACTAAATCAGATGTTATAAGTAATATATACTGGGAATATACATGAAGAAGCTACCAACACTACAGTGGAAAATCAAATACAGCTTTATGAAGATAGGACCATTTAGCATGAACTTAAATTGTTTAGAATTTATGAAGAAATAGACAAAAGAACTGATACTGAAGACTGATGTAGGGACATCTACAAATTATTAAAGTGACATAAACAAGCTACACCATGCTTCTAAAAGGAGAAACTTCTTTTGTTTTATAGTAACTTATTGGCTACTTCAATTGGATTATTACAAAGTGCCCTCCATCTTCCATGTCCCAAATTCCATGTTCTCCTCATCTTCCTGGGCTATAGAGACACTATATTTCCCACCTCACTTACACAAGGTTGTGGCAACGTGACTGAAATCTGAACAATGTCATGTGAGTGAAAATTATGTGCACAATTTACAGGCTGGTACCAAAAACTCTCCGTATGCACATTCTTATATATCCCTTTCTCCTCCTGGCTGTCTGGAATGGAGATGACTCCAAGCAATCTTGGAAGCCACATGTTAAAGATGGCATACTTTAGATCAGCCTGATTCCCTGGATAACTGTATAGACAAGGCCCCCCCAGTACAGCAGTACTGCTAAAAGAGCAGTATTAAGGGAATTTTGTGTTTGAGTCACTCTATATTTTGAAGCCTATTGGTGACAGCATTTTCTCTACTGGTCTAATGCAGAAATTGGAACTGACAGTGTGTGGATTTGTTTAGAGGCATTTGAATGGTGAAGAAACCGAACCAGGAAATTCATGCAACCTCTAGATTTTGTGAGGGGTCTCATTTTCATTGGTTTTCCAATCCTAATATGGTTTAGTCCTCCATTTATTTATTCATTAGAATATCACTTGGACCAACTATTCCATGCGCTGGCTTTTATGTCCTGGGGAGTCAGCGGAAAACAAGATAGACAAGATCCTTGCATTATATTCCTTATAATCTACTGGGGCAGACAGGTGACTAAAAACAAACGAATAAATCAGATGTGGAAATGATTTATTTTAAGATTTAGATAATGTTAAAATTTCATAATACTGAGAAGTAATGCATATATGCATGTAAATTCAGTTTTTAAACAAGGTTATCCATTTCTTTCTTATAATACAATTTGCTATAAAAAATATGTTAAAATGCGTTCTATTGCATCATTTTCCACAATATTATAAAAGAACAGATCTTGAAGATATTCCCTCTAATTATTTCACAGACATCATACATACCATTTTAATAGATGCAGACAGGTCATTGAATTTTGCACCATAATTTGTTATTATTCTTATTGTGAATATATTTTTAAGATAGGGAAGATTTGAGTGTTCTTATCTGAAGTTTAAAAAGAATTTTTAGGTAGTATGATGGAGAAGGTGATTGGTAATTCAGAGGCCAAAAAGTGGTTTAGAAGAAAACTGAACAATTTGACATCAGAACTCTACTTCGAAAAAAGCCTTCTTAATTCAAAACACATAAGAAATAACTTTCCTGTGTATGAAAACATAGAAGCATTGAAAATAAGTCATAATAACTCTCTTTCTTCTTCATCCCGATTGTGCAACCTGATTTTTTTCTGTTTTTCACCTACTTGTATTAAATGCAATATACCTCAGTACTGTTTATTGCACACATATATAAAATTTATTCTAAATATGTTTACCACGCTTGAATTTTATTGTGTGCATCTTTTCCTAACAACAGTTCTGATTGCTCTCTATTAGCCATGATGTAACAATTTGTGGTGGAATAATTTCTAGCCAAAGATACATGCTCAATGTGTTATGTAGAAGTGAATATCATTACCATCCAAAAGATGGGAGGTTAAACAATAAAATCTACCCACATTGTGATACATAAGCTTGATCCTAATTACAATAGAAAATAGCAATGATTTTTCTGAGATAAGCTGCCAATTCTTAAAGATGCATAAATATAGATCAGAAATTCTTCCATTGGAAGAGGATAACATAGAACATCTATGTGAAATACACATTGCTTCCTAATCATGAAGACTTTCTTACAATATTTTGTAAAATTAGATTGCTTACCTCAAACAAAATGGTTAATAGTATGGTAATCTTATAATATTTCGTATATTTTGCAAGGCCTGTCTTAGCTTCTTGTTTCCCCAAATCAGAATAAATGAATGGCTTGAAGGATAGAGTATTTCAAAAGCCCGGCAAAGCATGACAAGCAGTTGACTCTCCAGCCTATTAGAACTCCAAACTAAGATAACTAGAGCCAAGAAGTAAACAGCATATAGCAAGAGAAAGGAGACCACAGTTTGCATGGCTCTTATGTGGACCTTGGTGCTGGGATCATGGGATCCTTTGCCATTAAGCTGAATCTTCTTGAGATGTTTCCACAGGGAAATGATTAACAGCAGAAAACATGTCAGAGACATAGAAAAGTGTATGAAGTTTACTAGCGTGAATAGAGTCAAATTCGAAAGAGCTACAATATCCCTCAATTTGGTCTTCTGAGTGATGTTTCCTTCAAATTCATTAGTCTGCACATTATTATTTACCCATAGCACTGCAAGATGAGAAACCCAAAAGACCGAAGCGCCCAACAGTATTACGAGAAGTACACTTTTAACTCTCCACTTTAGGTAAAGAAATATAAGGCTAGAGAAATTAGCTATCTTTAGCAAGTAAAAAAATATGCTGAGGCTAGTAGCAAGCCAGATGTTAAGATGGTTGCTTACTGTCCAGGCAATAAAAACAATAATTCTTACTTCTAAACTATGAAAAACTGAAGGAAGCACAGTCATATACCAATTTATTAAGATTACCCAGAGCAGGGGCTGGCCCCGTGGCCGAGTGGTTAAGTTCGCGCACCCCGCTGCAGGCGGCCCAGTGTTTCGTCAGTTCAAATCCTGGGCGCGGACATGGCACTGCTCATCAGACCACGCTGAGGCAGCGTCCCACATGCCACAACTAGAAGAACCCACAACGAAGAATACACAACTATGTACCGGGGGGCTTTGGGGAGAAAAAGGGAAACATAAAATCTTTAAAAAAAAAAAAAAAAAAGATTACCCAGAGCAAACCAATTCTGGAGACCGCCAGAGCTGTGAGAATTTGATCAGCTGAGGACATCTTTTGTCTCTTGACCCAGTCAATGCAGTTCACCAGTGCTATGAAGCCATTGGCGAAATTTCCCAGAACAAATTCTGTCGTTATTAGGACAGAAAAAATGCTTGGTAGTAAAGTTATCATGTCTAGAAAGAAAGAAAACCCAAGTCTAATATCACTAGCCGTGATTCCTTTAAAATTCTGACCTTAACTCCTATGTTCAGCTGAGCTCTGAGCTCAGCAAAGTTCTTGTTTCTTTAAATTCTGTGACTGCTGTCAAGCAGGAAAGCAACAAACTATGCTGATGGAAGAGCTCAATGCTGTCTTCATGGAAAACATTGTTACTCCTACAACAGCTCAAATTAACTCCTATTTATCCACCATGTGCCCTTGCCATGGGCTAGATTATTTCATAACTGATGTTGATGTAAAAGCTAAATTCTCATTTGCTAGCATGCAAAGAAGAACATATCGCTTTGCAATTTTTTTCCTTGTTTAACCTCTCCATAATTTGTATTCATCAGGATTAGTTGTTAGCTAACTTTAAAAACCCAGTACATAAAACATACAGCAAATGTCTAAAATTTTAGAGGGAGACGGCTCATAATTAGGCTCATTAACTCTATGTTTTTATTTATCTTTTTTAATGTCAGATTAAATGTAGAAGGAATTCAAACCTTTTTCATCGAAAGCATCCAAGATTTTCTTAAGAACACCAGGAAAGCCATTGCACCCTAAATGTAGTCGCTGAAAACTAAAACTTATGTATAAATTTATTGTTTATAAGTTTATAAACACATACAAATTCACACATACATCTCATGGATGGAATTATTGTCCTATAATTTCAAAAAGTATAAAATCAGGCTTAGGAGGTCATTTAGGTTTAAATCCCCTTTTCTCCCATGCAGGCTTTTCAACCCATTATTCATAGCTATCAAACATATCTCTCATGCTTAGGTCTTTGATAAAGTTTCTGACTGTATTCAATATTAAATATTAATATGTAATTGAAGTAGTCATGGATTTTGTAAATATTCCCTTGGGACTTCAAAAGAATATGTGTTTTCCATCACTGATTCTAGATTTTTCCAATAAGAATATCAGGATTTGTCTTTTTCTGTTTAATTCATTTTTGGCTATATTATTTTTTAAGGTTAATAGATGTTAAAATCAACCTCTGCCATTGGATTTTATTCAGTGTCAGTTTTTATAGAACTTAGGATTTTTTTAGCAGAGTATCTATGATCCAGATTGCCAGGATGGAAAACCCAAATTCTCAGCTTCATATGTCTCTGATCTTGGACTCTGTTTTAAAACCACTCTCTGCCTCAGTACAATCAGTAAAATGCAGATGGTCATGAAATCCTCATCCAGTGTCTTTGTGAGGAGTGAGCATCCTGTCTGTGTAAAGCACGTTCCCTCTCGCCCCTCTGCTACAGAGGAGGCATGGAGGCTTGTTACTTATTCATTTGACCCTGTGGTATTTGATACTTCAGAGTTAACCTGTGAGGAATCCTACTTAGGAGAACAACGCAGTTAGTTGAAAAAGTATAGATTTCCTCCTACAACAACAAGGATACAGGGAACAAATTGCCAACATTACATTTTAAATTCATCAGAGAGCTGAGCAAGGAAGGAAGAGAACTGAACTGAAATCTGGAATGAGGAGAGTATTTTCGTTAAAGAGATGATCAATATATTCAGTGTGATCCCTATCAAATTCCCAGTAGAATCTATCTGAAGAAAGTGAAAAACTATTCCTAAAATGTATATGGAAATGCAAAGCACCCAAAATAGCCAAAAGAATTTTTTTAAAAAAGAGCAAATTTGGGGAGCCTGCCCAGTGGTGCAGCGGTTAAGTTCGCATGTTCCACTTCTCGGCGGCCAGGGGTTCGCCAGTTCGGATCCCAGGTGCGGACATGGCACCACTTGGCAAAAGCCATACTGTGGTAGGCATCCCACATATAAAGTGGAGGAAGATGGGCACAGATATTAGCTCAGGGCCAGGCTTCCTCAGCAAAAAAAGAGAAGGATGGCAGTAGTTAGCTCAGGGCTAATCTTCCTCAAAAAAAAAAAAAAATGACCAAAGTTGGAGGATGACAGTTTCTAATATCAAAGTTTACTACTAGGCTGCATTAATCAGGATAGTATGGTACTCTCAAGAAGACACACATATATATCAATGAAACACAATTGAGAGCCCAGATTAATATTTACAATCATGGTCAATTGATTTCAAAAAAGGTGTCAAGGCAGTCAACAAGGAAATTATCTTTTTGTTAACAAATGAAGTTGGAATAATTAGATATTCACATTTATAAAGATGAATTTTATTCTTATTTCATACCATACACAAAAGTAACTCAAAAATGATTATAGACCTAAATGTAAGAGGAACAACTATAAACTATAGAAGAAAAGTTATCTAAACATGAGTTAGGCATGCCTTTTAGTTACAATACTACAAGCATGATTCATAAAATTAATGAACTGATAAATTGGACTGTATCAAAACGGAAAACTTTTGTTACCCGTGATTACTGCTCCCTGATGTTCACACTCTGTATAGTTCCCTTCCCATAAGTGTGGGCAGGACCTGCGATTACTTCTGGCCTGCAGAATATGGCAACTATGAAGGGATTTTTAGATAATCAAGATCCTAAATCACCTGATTTTGAGTTGATTGAAAGAGAGATTATCCTTCATGGGCCTGCTGTGATCAGGTAAAGATTTTAAGAGTGGCTGGGCCTCCCCTGCTGAGGAGAGGGGAGAGACAGACTCCTGCTGACCTTGGAGAAGTAAGCAGCCATGTTATGAAGCGCCTGTGGAGAGGACCACAAGAAAATGAATTCCTCCAACAACTTGAGTGAGCTCGGAAGTGGATTCTTCTCCAGTGAAGCCTGCAGAGAGAATGCAATATCACCAAAACTTTTATTTCACTTTGGTGAGATCCTGAAGCAGAGAACACAGCTAAACCTTGCTCCAACTCCTGACCCAAAAAACTGTGAGATAATACATGTGTTTGCTAGTTTAAGCCACTAAATTTGTGGTAGTCTGTTACAAAGCTGATGGAAAATTCTTAAGGAACAATACAGTTTGTCTACATCCTCAGGTGTCATTCAACACAAATAAAATGCATCTGAGTTCATTATAAAATTGTGAGATTATAAACACATTGTAAATTATATAATTATAAATATGTATATATTTATTTCTAGACATATAGAAAAGATTCTATTCCAGGGATATGTTCTAAAATATAAGAAAGTCCAATGGGAGAACATAGAAATAGATTTTTTAAACTCCCCAAACATTCTTAGCATACTTATTTTCCTATACTTTCCTTTTTGAGAGTCATTTTTTATTGAGTTTTTTCCTTCCTTTAAGAAAGCACTTCAGCTGCCCCCAAATCCTAAGAGAAGGTTGCTTCAGCTTGGTGTTTCTCAAAACTAGGATAAATGAATCACCTAAAGGATGGGCAGATGCTATTACTTTACCAAATGTCAATATCAGCTTGTCTGGGGACAATAAATGGCTGTAACTATTATTAGAATCAACACAATATACGTGAAAAAGAGAAAGAAGAACAAAATCACCATTCTCATGGCTTTTCCATGAGCTTCATGCTGGGATCTTGGGACCCTGAGATACTGAACTTCATCCGCTAGATATACCTCCAGGAAGAAGGAAGTAACAGAAGAACCAACGCTATGGAAATATTTATGGGTGTAGTGATCTCAACACTGATAAGCACTACAAAAATAATAGTTTTGTTTCATGCATATTAATCTTCCAAGTCTGGTTTGTTTGTTTCTAGATTTAAAATATCTGGAATTACATGGTCTATCACTGGGATGCAAAAAGAAAAAAAGAGCAAAGACCTTAGAAAAATATTACACCCTATTAATTCTCCACTTTAATCAAGAAAAGGTTTGTAAAAAACATAGCTATCTTCAGGAAATAGGAGATGCTGAGGCTGATGTTAAACCAGACACTTAATATTTGATCATTATGCAAAACAGAGTATTAGTTTTTCCAAGCTGACCAATGTTATGTGGATCTGCATACAGCACCAGTAGAAATCAATCCATCAGTATCAGGTTAAGAAGCATATTCTGCTTATGAATAAGTTAGTGAGAATGAGGTTAATGAAGCTTATTTTCCTGTGTCTTGCATTGTCAATGAAGTTGATTATAGCAATTAATCCATTTCCCTAAGTACCAAGTATGAATTCCATTGTTAAGACAACCAAAAAGATGTTGTCCTCAGCACTTGAGTTTCTTCTGAGTGGAAAATTACCATCCCCAACAGCACTGTTGATCAACTGATGGATTGAAAACTAGTATTTTTTGTGGTGCTTCTTTGTTTTTATAGGGGCTTCCATTCCTGATTTCAATAATCACCAGATTCTATTATCACACTGGTCCTCATCTTACATTGGGAAACCATTTCAGTTCATTTAAAATGTTTTAGTTTGAGATTTCTTTCAAAAAAATGTGGATACTTCTCCTTTTATAGTAATGCTTGCTGTAAACTATTTCTAATATGAGTGAAAGAATAGAACTTAGTTTGTTTACATGCAAATGGAGAAGGATTCTCTTTCATCGTTTCACCTTCTGCCCTACTGGAAAATGAATATGAGAAAAACATGGAACTCCTCAAGTAGGAGCTTCTAAGAGCCATCTGCAGAATTAAAATTGGTGTATAAAACTGAATTTAGAGATGGAAATTCATCATCGTCATAATAATCAGCATCATCATTCATTATGGGACTGAAAAAGGACACAAATAAAAAGCACTATTAATTCAATCTACCTAGGCTGAAAAGGTAGATGTCTGCAAATAATTCATTAATTGGGAAAACTTGGCAAAAATGAATCTCAGTAGTTGAAGTTCAAACAGAATATTCTCTAGATATTTGCTTACATTACAAGGTATTTTTATCCTTGACTTCACATTTGCTTCTTTAAAACATCATTTAGTAGAGATAGAAGAATGTTCTCTTTTGAAAATATGCAAACTGGAGATCACAGAGTTCAAATAGTTTGCTCGAGATCATGTAGCTACAGGTGACAGATCAGGACTTCAATGATGTCATTTTTTTGTAGAAGTAACATTTATTTCAATCTGCAAAGGGGAAGTTAAGTGAGTGAGCCCAGAGCTCTCTCACTTACAGAAGAATCTACCCAATTTACAGTGGCGTTGTCAGTTTATCAAGCTGGTGGTTACAGTTACGGTTTAAATGAACAACTTCCGTTTCCCATAATGAGCAGCTATATGCAATCTGATTTAGAAGCTTTGTGGTTATCATGTGCTTTGCAATACAAGGTTCATCCCAGGAACATTGAACAAAAGCTTTGTTGTTAAAAGTTGATCTCAGGAGGCCTCTTGCTGCCCCACAAACATAGCATGTGGTGGAGTTTGTTTAGATTCACATTATTTTCTCACCTGCGCAGTCTCTTATCAGGGCTCTTTGTTCCCTCTGCTCCCAGAAGGCACCGGATATAAGCTTTGTTTAGCATTCTATATGTTACCTTTTTTAAAAATTTTTTTTTATTTATATATTTTTATTGCGGTAGCATTGGTTTCCAACATTACATAAATTTCTGGTGTACATCATTATATTTCAATTTCTATGTAGGCTACATCATGTTCACCACCCAAAAACTACTTATAATCCATCATCACACACATGTGCCTAATCACCCCTTTCACCCTCCTACCACCCCCACTGGCTCCCTTGTTCAAAATTAGCTGTCCATAGATGTGTGGGTTTATTTATGGCTCTCAATTCTTTCCCACCAATCTGTATGTCCGTTTTCGTGCCAGTACCATGCTGTTTTGACTATGAGAGCTTTGTAGTATATTTTGAAATCAGGGAGTGTGATATCTCCGCCTTTTCTTTTTTCTCAGGATTTCTTTGGCTATTAGGAGACTTTGTTGTTACATATAAATTTTAGGATTCTTTGTTCTATTTCTGTGAAAAATGTTGTTGGGAAATTTGATGAGGATCGCATTGAATCTGTAGATTGCTTTAGGAAATGTGGACATTTTAATGATGTTAATTCTTCCAATCCAAGAGCATGGAATATCTTCCATTTCTTTGTGTCTTGTTAAATTTCTTTCAACAATGTTTTGTAGTTTTCAGTGTGCAGGTCTTTCACCTCTTTGGTTAAGTTTATTCTGATGTATTTTATTTTTTTGTTGCAATTGTAAATGGGTTTGTATTCTTCATTTCTCTTTCTGCTACTTCATTTTTAGTGTGTAGAAACGCAACTGATTTTTGTAAGTTGCTTTTGTATCCTGAAAATTTACCGTATTCATTTATTATTTCTAAAAGTCTTTTGGTGATTCTATAGGGTTTTCTATATATAAAATCATGTCATCTGCAAATAGTCACAGTTTTACTTCTTCCTTTCCAATTTGGATCCCTTTTATTTCTTTTTCTTGATTCATTGCTCTGGCTAGGACTTGCAATACTATGTTAAATAAGAGTGGTGAAAGTGGGCATCTTCATCTGGTTCCTGTTCTTAGTAGGATAGCTTTCAGTTTTTCTCCATTGAGAATGATATTAGCTGTGAGTTTCTCATATATGGGCTTCATTATGTTGAGATGCTTTCTTTCTATACCCATTTTATTGAGTTTTAATCATAGACGGATGCTATATCTTGTCAAATGCTTTCTCCGCATTTATTGAGATGATTGTGTGATTTTTATTCATTTTGTTAATGTGGTGTATCATGTTGATTGATTTGCAGATGTTGAACCATCCCTACATCCCTGGAATAAATCC